GTCGTGTGCTTACTAAAGAGAAATGTTTAAAAGCTACGGGGTTTTCACACGACTCGTGTGCCTTGTGACACGGGTCGTGTGAGCTCACACGACTCGTGTCACATCTTCACATGCGTCGTGTGACTAGTAACTCTCTGAAAATCTGGTTAATGTTTATGTATAATTTTCTACTTTCTGATTCATTTTAAATTACACATTAAAGTATATTACTTTGTTTAATTGTTTCAATTTTTGGATCGTATACTTTTAGGGACAAATCACCAGAGCCAGCATAATCAGGGTGCCTGGACAGATGTTGAGTTTTTTCGGACGCTTGCCTAAGAGGTTGAAGCGAGCGATCCTGCGACGATGCGGTACTGCAATAACCTCCTTTACGGTCAGCTTTACCCGGACCAACAAGCGTATGGAGAACCGGAGGTTAAGGAAAATACGCGAGGTCGTCCCAAAAAAACTGATTCTACTAAGCGTGAAGCATCGCGATGGGAGTATAGGGATAATTCGCAAGGTCGTACAAGCAATTCTTCGCGTGGACGCACTTCTTTGCGTGGACGCACTTCTTCGCGTGGACGCACTTCTTCGTGTGGACCGAGAACCAGCCAATCTTCTGAACCGTCACAAGAGGCACACCAAGGTGACATTTATTTTTACTAAAGTTGAACGTTAATTAAAATGTTAATTTACAAAATTATATTATTTTATTGTGACGTGAAATTATTATGATGTTCCAGCTGGTACCGAGACAGATATATTTAGCTTTAAGTACAGCAGCAGTGTTCCCTGACATATGTTGGACTACATAGTGAGCTACTTGAATGTTAAAGCAGATGGGAACTGCGGATGGCGGGTCATCCCGAGTTACATTTACGGGGACCAAGAGATGTGGCAACTCGTACGAGAGAACATTGCCAATGAGATTTACAGCCATCGTGCCTTGTACGAGTACATCTATTACAGGGATATCGACACGGCACTCGCTTGGATAAGGTTGGACAGGGGCGCTTTTTATTTTTATTATTATTATTTTGCTAATATTTATATTTTATATTTATTTTTCTTTTATATTATAAGTATTATTATTTAAATTCTAATATTTTAATTTTATAAGGTGGGACGGGGGCGCTTGTGGCACGAATCACTGGATGGACACTCCAACCGACCTCTACCCTGTTGCAACCCTATTTAATGTGGTTGTCGTTCTTTTAGGCTCTGGTCGCGATGGTCGTTTGCCCAACCAGTTCAGCTGCACAGTATTGTCGCTCGCTGCAGCATCAACGAGCACAGGGCCACGCCGTGAGATTTGCATATGTCATCTTGGTAGCTACGAACACTACATTCGGTTAGATTTGACTCTGGATTGTCCATTACCGCCTATTCATAGTATGTGGTTCAGACACCGAACTTCTTCGGTGGAGAATTTGGAGAATCGGTACCAGTCTAGGTTGCAATTATGGTTTGATGCTCAAAATAACCCCTGATGTATGACATATTTTCTTTCATTCGATGTTCGGTTTTATGTTGTTGGGAACTTTAAAAAGATTATGTTTTTTTTCATTATATGCTTTCATTTTATTCTTGTTTATAAAAAAAAATAAAAAAACATGTCGCGCGTAGAGTGGGGTCACACGACTCGTGTGCCAAGTGACACGAGTCGTGTGCTGTCACACGACCCGTGTCACACTGACACACGAGTCGTGTGACTCATGAGAAAAATACGAGCCGGCTACGTCTTTTTCACACGACTCGTGTGACAAGTGACACGAGTCGTGTTAGCGTCACACGACCCGTGTCACTTGGCACACGAGTCGTGTGACTCATGAGAAAATTGTCGAATTTGCAACAACTTTTTCACACGGCTCATGTGCGTAGTGACACGGGTCGTGTGTGTGTCACACGAACCGTGTCACTTAGCACACGAGTCGTGTGACTCATGAGAAAAATGACGAATTAACTACGGCCTGGTCACACGACCCGTGTCACAGGGTAACACGAGTCGTGTGACCTCACACGACCCGTGTTACCCTGTCGTGTGATGGGTCGTGTGGACCAGAAAGTATTTCGAAAATTGAATGTTTTTTCACACAATTCGTGTCACCGGGTCACACTAGTCGTGTGGGATGAGAACAATAATGTTTGACAAAAAAAAAACATCATGTTTGACAAAATTCGTCTGATACGCATAATGTTTGACAAAAAAAAAAAAACAAAACATCATAACATCATTACACATTTATTTGTAATTGGCGTAATCCAACTTAAGTTTAGCCAATTCGTCTGATAACTGCGCCGCCTGCAGAGGATCATGAGCTGTTAAACCCCGCAGAGTCCTCGAGGTAAGAGTCAAAGCACGGTCCATCCACTACAAAACAAAAAAATAAGAATAAGAATATATGCTCATTATTTATTAAAATAAAATTTATTCTAATCAAATATTATTAATTAAAAGCTTGCGAATGTCTTACCTAGTCGGTGTTCCCACGCGTAGGGACCTCTCTCTCGTCAGGCAGACCCTCACCCAAGACAGTAGGATGAGAAACCCGACGGTACCACAACAAGTACTCCGGATCGGCCTCC